AATGTCATAGAACAATATGTGTACTGACTGTTTAATGAGAAACTATTTGTTCTGTAAACCTTCATCTAAAGTACAATAAAAAAAATTTTAAAAAAAAGATGAGCCTTAAAAAAACTATTTCAAAAAAAAGATTTCCAGGTTTTTAAGCTTCCTGAGTTCCGAAAATCAAAATACTCAATGCTAAACCTGCCACCAAAGCTGCCACCTATCCCTACTCACTCTTCACGTCTAGTTGTTTTTAATTGAAAAGAAAATGAAAGTGCTTGTATTAGATCTTGAATCAGTTTATTTTCCTTAGGCTGAAAAAATCAAATATCTAAAGGATATCATGGCTATCTCTGACTTATCAGCTGACTTACAAATGACCACTACGTACAAGCAGCTTCCTTGATGCCTACCTTGTGGCCATTGCAGTGGGAAATTTGTTGTGAAATGGAGGGTGAGGAGACGTAAAAAGGAGACATAAATCCACCACCCGTCTGTCAGTTTGCTGTAGTGTGGTGACAGCATATTCCTGTGATGCTGGAAGCTATGCCGCTGGTATTTCAAACACCAGCAGGTTAGCCCATGGTGGAGAGGTTTTAGCAGAACTTTCAGACTAACTCGGACAAGAAAGAGAAGTCCTGGTGATCTACTTCCAAAAGCCAGCCAAGGAAAAACTTATGAATCACAACAGAGTATCATCTGATATAGTGCTGGAAGATGAGCTCCCCAGATTGGAAGGCACCTAAAATACGACTGGGGAAGAGCTGCCTCCTCAAAACAGAGTTGACCTTAATGATGCAGATGGATTAAAGCCTTTGGGATCTTCATTTGCTAATGTGGCACTCCTCAGAATGAGAAGCAATAGCAGCAAACATCCATTAGTCAAACATACCAGCAATCATGAAAATGATACAGAACCAGACAATGTTTCATTCTGTTATACATAAGGTCTCCCTGCGTCTGAACTGACTAGACAGCAACCAACAACAACAAATCCTACCAGAAGAAGCCTGCAGACAAGTCGTCTTTCTACTCCCAGAATGCCTTTCCCATGTTACTTGATTTTTTTTATTGCTTCACTTTGATGTTCTCCTTGGGTTTTCATCAAGTACAGATTCATTCAGATTAAATACCAGTCTCTTTTTGAAAAACATTAAGTTAAATAAAGACAAACCCATTCTTCATTTGCAGGAATTTTTAGAGCCTTTTATATGCTTAAGTGAGTTGTAAATCTCCAAGGGGTGAATATAAAAGCCTTTTCCCCCAGAAAATGTCTTGTAAGATAGAACACACGCTGGGAAGTGTTGTGCTAGACCAAAACGGCATTTCAATTGTTTTAAAGGTCATCCATCCATCCATCCATCAATCCATCCATCCCATATTGGTTTCAAAAGATAAAATATGTATGGCCCCTAACATGATGAAACTCACAGTCTACTGGGGGAGTCAGATATATAAAGAATTAGAGTACACTATGATAAATGACATAATAGATGTACATGTACTTTCATGGGAGCAAAAAGAAAGTGTTCAAAAATCATTAAGAACTTACATATTTGCTATATTCCGGGTTAGTTTCAAAGGATGTCAAATGGCAAGAACGTTATGCTATATAACAAACTGTGGTGAGGTACAATATAACAATTTTATAAATGAAAACAACAGCATGTAATTTTCTTTTATATATTTTCAAAAAAAACTTTTACAGTCTTAAATTTCGCAGTAAAGACTTTACACTCTAACAAAATCTTACTTATAATAAAGAAGTAAGTGGCTCAAGGAGTCTATATACATAAAAAGCCAAAAGAAAATTTCAAAGAAACTATTCTAAGGCTAGAGATAATCTCTACCGACACTAACACTGGGCAGTCCTTACATTTCTTATAAAAAATTTGTTTATTCTTTCTTCATTCATGAGATTCTTAGAAGACCTACAATAACTTTGAAAGTTGCTCAGCAGCAGATAAATTAACATCTAATTAATACTGGGAATTTGTTTTAGCTAACTTTTTGTTTTTAAGTATCAAACCATTACATTCTTTGTAAAGTGAATGCAGAATACAAAATCATTTGGGGAGTGTTCTGCTAATCTACTTTTTCACAAATAAAATTAAGCTTGATTATTCATAAAATTTATCTCATTTCTCATTAGCAATTTTGATGTTTATAACCCTTTAGCATCCTCACCCTGGACATTTTCTTTAATACCCTTCATAATATCATATCAGTTCCAAAAAAACCAAACCGGTTGCCATCAAGTTGAATCCGACTCATAGCAACCCTGTAGGATAGAGTAGAACTGCCCCATACAATTTCCAGGGAGCGCCTGGTGGATTCAAACTGCTGACCTTTTGATTAGCAGCCATAGCTCTTAACCACTACTCCACCAGGGTTTCCTCATATCAGTTACTAGATGATAATTATACATGCTCGCTCTATGTTGGAATATCTTTAGCAACTTGAAGCTGCTGTAATTTCTTACCTGGTCCTGTTTCACATGTAGTGGGAAACTGTTCAAGGCATGGACTTGAGTGATTTGGATAAATCTGAGTTTCTTGGACCCACCAGTAAGGCCGATGACCAAACAATATCCTGTATTTAAAGAAATATAAGTACAAATATATATTTACATACACAGCTATTAATTAAAGATGAGTTATTCTGTCCTATAAAAATGACTCAAGCAGAAAGTTGATGGGCAAACCTCATGATTAAGAGAATGAGAAAGAACTTTGGTTCTGGTCTCTCTCTTTTATTGAGAGAATGGTACAGTCATTTGGGATTTCAGCACCATAGTTTCCCATAAAAGCAGGGATTTTTTTTCCTTGCTGGGGAAAGCTTGTGGGTCCTTTGGGTACTTAGACTGTTCAAATTGGTCCCTGAAATCATAGATCCAGTATTATAGGTTGCTTATTTAACTATTAACTTCTGGGTTTATCATATAATATGTATTACAGGGTTTGGAAATTTATTATAAGTCAATAAAGTATACATTTCTATGCTTTTTGTAAGTTCTATTTATGAACCAGATATTCCAAGTAACTGGTATGTTTGAAAGATTTTCCAGGTAAAATTACACACATCTGAAATTTGCTCATTAAGCCAGCGCTACAAAGTTAAGAACGATAAGTTTAGGAAAAATGAAAGAAAATACAAGCCTTACCATTTAAATATAAGATTGAACCAATCCCCAATGACTGCTACCCATATCATTTTAGTTCCAACTGTCTGATTAAGCTGAAACCAAAGTGGAAAATAAATAGAAAAAATATTCCGGGGGTCTCCAACATTGGACATAAAGTTTAGAAAATCATAGTAAGCCCGGTAATCCCTCTGCAAATGCTGAATAACAAGAACTCCATTCCTATGAAGGAAATCCATCTTGAAAAAGAAGCAATTCTAAACATAGAGCAATTGGAGCTAAGTGCTCTGAGTCCCACTGTTTTTATATAGCACCTCTGTGGCGTGTCCGGCCATTACTACAACATGTGATGCTGACCATCTGTGGAGAAGGCAGGTTGGCCCTCCTCGCTGAAAAGCTCATCTGTTCATGATTTTAATTAGTGGCAAAGAGGTGAAGTACATGCTGATCTGTGGCAAGTCAAGGGGAAATCTGGGTAGAAACCCAATGAATTTCTTATGCAACCTCCCTTTTGTGTAAACAGTTGGATCGTGTTTGCTTGAAATTTTTTGCACAGTTCATTTCCTTCAAAGGCAGACATTAGCAATTTCTGTGCTTGGCTAGGAGACCACGCAAATAATTACTGCACGTCAATTAGCCCTTAAAGCCATGCATTTTAATTTAAAATAAACTTTTGCTCCCTGACTGTTTTATTGGGCCTTTGAGGAAAATAGTTGACTAAATATCTGGACATGAAACATTTATACGGTACGACATTATTTTGTGATCTCAGACTTTTAAATAAAAATATTTTTATATTTCTTTATTATCAAAGAGAATGATATCATATAGACAGAACAGGGAAGGAAATATATGTAATATATGAAATCTGGAAGGAGATGTGTTGCTTTTTGACAAAGAGGCAAGAGAGCAGACATGGAGCTCTCTCAGGTAGTAGAAATGTGTTAGAATTGAGTCACATCTTTACTGACTAGAGGATACAGTTGAGAGCACTGGGGAGTTTGTTGCTCATATGACAAAAAGGTAGCAATAGACTTTGAAGGGCTTTTTTTAAATTGTACTTTAGGTGAAGGTTTACAGAACAAATCGTTTCTCATTAAACAGTCAGTACACATATTGTTTTCTGACATTTGTTAACAACCCCACGACATGTCAACACTCTCCCTTCTCGACCTTGGAGAAACTTTTTTTTTTTGGTGAAAATACACATAGCCAAAGATACACCATTTCAAAAATTTCTACATGTACAGTTCAGTGACATCAATTATATTCTTCCAGTTGTGCTGCTATTCTCACTGTCCTTTTCCAAATTATTCCATCACCATTGTCTTCAACTCACTGTCCCCTAGGCTTCCCATCAAACCCTTTGAGTTGCTGTTGTCAGTTTGATCTCACGTAGCTAATTCTTTTTTTTTTTTTTTTTTTTTTTTTTTTTTACTTTAGATGAAGGTTTACAGAACAAAATAGTTTCTCATTAAACAGTACACATATTGCCCTATGACAATAGTTAACAACCCCACGACATGTCAACACTGTCCTTACTCAACCTTGGATTCCCTATCATCAGCTTACCTGTCCCCTCCTGCCTTTTAGTCCTTCAAAGGGTTTTTGACCAAACAGGAAAAAATGGTTTGTTGAATACAGAGTATTCCGTAGAAGTAAGTAGGAAGCACCAAAACAAACATGTAAATTTGGAATAAACAGAAGGGCAGCACTAAGAGAACTACAGATCCAAGTCAAGGGAGCTGCTGGTTTTAGAGAGCTAAATTGTGTCCAGAGGATTAGTGTGAAGGCAATTAAGCTTCACCTCAGTGCATGGCTGAGGGTGGAGCTAATGTAACCTTCCTTGTTATATATCATTCAGATTGGCTTAGCTGTGTTTTTAACCACAGCGTCTTTCAATAGGAGCCTTCTTCATAGCTATAAATATCACACTGATCTTCTCTTCGGTGTCCTGCCCCATCATTTAACAGTAGGGGTTCCATTGTTATGGGGAGCCAGTGCCTATTGGTACCTTCCCAGGAGGCTCTGTTGCCTCTCCTGGAAGACATGCCTTGACTGCCTATTAAAATCTTTTGGGGTGCCTTTGAAAAATGCCATACCCCAGTGCCACTCCAGACCCATTAAATTTCTAGCAGTGGGACCCAGGCATTGGTAGTTTGAAAAATTTCCCAAGTGATTCTAATGTCAGCTAGGGTTGAGAATCATTGCGCTAAAGCATGTACATTACCTGTTCTCCTTTCAGCGTTAAGCCCTCCAAAATATCAAGTTGGACGAAGCTTCTTGTTGCTGTTAGCTGTACAACATGACAGTCTGCCTGGTCCTGTCCCATCCCATTGTGATGCATAGGGATTTCACTGGCTGATTTTTGGACATTGATCACCAGACCTTTCTTCCTAGTCTGTCTTAGTCTGGAAGATCTGCTGAAACCCATTCAGCATCATAGCAACACGCAAACCACTGACAGAGGAGTGGTGGCTGCGCATGAGGTGCATTGGCCAGGAATTGAACCCGGGTCTCCCACATGGAAGGCAGGAATTCTACCACTGAATCATCAACTTCCCCTGGACAAAGCTTGTTGTTGTCATTGTTAAGTGCTGGCGAGTCTTTTCCTACTCATAGCAACCCTGTGTACAACAGAGCAAAACACTACCCGGTCCTAGGGTCACTATAAAGTTTTCCCATTCCCCTGCCTAACTTTGGACTGGATGAAGCTTAAATGACTTTTAATACATAAATTATTGAATGTGCTTTGATTTTCCTGTTGATTTAGATTTTTGTGTGAACTCTTAATGTCTAACTGATTTATCATGTTGTCAAGACTTCATAGAATTTTTGTTTATAATTAGAGAAAACACTAATCTAATTAGAATCTATGCTGCTGGTGACAGTATGTATATGAACTTGATATTGTGGCCCAGAAGAGGTAAAACAAAGGCAACAGTTGAAATGCACCCCTATAAAACAGAGTGGGTGGTGGCGGGTTTCCTTGCTGAGTTTTCTGCGAGACTCCCCTGGAAGGAGGTGAAGGTACCGCCTGGCTTCTGTAGATGGGAACACCGGGTTGACACTCACATGTAGATTGGGAATAAACGAACAGCAGAAAGAAAACCTAAGTGGCACCATCATACCATTTTTCAGAAGGTGACTTAAACTGGCTGCCAGGAAATGAATATTAATCTTTATTGACTTGAGAACCTTACTGGCCTCCTTTATCATTATTATCATTTCGGTAGGGAGAGAGCCAGGAAGCGGTTTCCCAGCACTGGCCCTCAGTGAGTTTCGTGCTTCTCTCAGACAGCCCCATTAATGACATCCTCTCTCAGTTTTCCCACTTATGTGCTGGTCTGATCCAAATGATGTATGTGTTGGTGCAAAATTAATTTAGCTGAAAACTCATTTGTGCTTTAGAATGTCTTGCATTTACGCTCACCCAATTGTCTACCTTTGAAAATACCCTATCTTGTTATCTGTTTTTCCTGGTTTGTCTTAGTCTGGAAGTTTGAGGACCGAGGTGCGCCCTACCCAAGCCATGGTATTTTCCATTACTTCATCTGCGTGTGAAAGCTGGACAATGAATACAGAAGACTGAAGCAGAATTGAAGCATTTCAATTTTGGCGTTGGTGAAGAATATTGAATATACCACGGACTGCCAGAAAAATGAACAAATCTATCTTGGAAGAAGTACAGCGAGAATGCTCCTTAGAAGCAAGAGTGGTGAGACTTTGTCTCACATACTTTGGACATGTTATCAGGAGGGATCAGGGCCGGAGAAGGACATTATGCTTGGTAAAGTAGAGGGTCATTGAAAAAGAGGAAGACCCTCAGTGAGATGAACTGACACAATGGCTGTAATAATGGGCTCAAAGATAGCAATGGTTGTGAGGATGGTGCAGGACCGGACGGTGTTTCATTCTGTTGTACATAGGGTGGCTATGAGTTGGAACCGACTCAACGGCACCTAACAACAACAACAACACTATCTGTTTTTAACTTCACAGTGGTCCAGTAGTCCTAGTTTTAGTGAGGAAAAGGAGAAGTAACCTGCCCCAGATAACTTCTTCAGTGCCAGAACCCTGTTTAGAGAACCAATTTTATTTCCAGGGCAATGCTTCTTCCTAGTCTCGGCTGAGTCCAGGTTGCTGAAGGCCAAAATTGGTGACACTTACAACAATTGCAAAATGAATAAAAGCTGATGCTTTCAACAACCCAGACCTCTAATTCACCTGTAATAGTCCAACTATGAAGCTTTTCTGTTTAGTCCTGAGAGGCAATTGGCTGACACTGAAACACATCTGGCCAGCTGCCAGATCACTAGGAGAACTTCACAGGTACAACCACTACTTTGAACTATTGGATGGCTTGTCCCATTATTTGACAAAAATGACACGTTCGATAAGAGAATCCTATGGCTGCTGTCTCTGTCATCTCCTGTAGGAAATACCAAGTGGCACTAAGATGGAGACCTCAGAGCTTGAGGGCGTCTCTGATTCCCACTCTCTGCTGAGGGCCCTGGGACCCAGCAGACACTTTCTTCTCTGGAGACAATCAAGTGTCAAATTAAACAAAGACCACCCAAATGACAGCAAACAGAAGATATTTATTCCGAGCTCGCTATAGCAAGGGAGTCAGCCACCATCGCTTGTGTTTGACAGAGACTCAAAGTTAGGCAGGGGAATGGGAAAGCTTTATAGTGAAAAAAGGGAAGGCTTCAAGTGTGCTCTGATTGGAGATTTTGGGCAGGGACAATGTGGAGGCGGGCTAACTAGAAAAGAGGCATATTATGTGATTGGTTTGGGGAGCATATTTGGCTTTTTCTGGTTGGTCCCAAGTTGAAAGCACGGACAAAAATTAGGGAAACTGGCAGTCATTGGCCAAGTCCTGACCATCCTGGACTGGTTGCTGCAGAGGTTGTGGGTTAGAGTTTTATTGTGACATATGGTTTGGCCATTGTCCCTTTGCATATTCAGTCTCTCACAAGATGAACTGAACAAGCATATGTCAGAAATAGTTTATGTGGCATCACACCGAGAGAAAAAGGGATGGATCCCCTGTCTACCCTGTGGCTCTATAGTTTTTATTCACTGAATTACAATGAAGGCATACACTTGCTCTACCAAAGAGGAATCTATTTACTCAGGTATATCACTCTTACATACGCGGTATTAACCTTGACTAATCAGAGTCTATGCTTCTGGCTTTTTTTGTTTTGCATATTCAGATTCTAAAATTTCCACAATGTCTTTAATGAGCCATGAGGAAGGACATAACTTCCCTTTATTCTTTTTCAAAGAAGTGTTTGAACTACATATTTCATAATATTCATT